AAATACACAAATAAATAAACAAATTTTTAACAATTTTGTGGCACGGTTTTATAGAGCACAAAAAAGCCATTAAATTTTCATTACAATCATTTTTCTATATCTACTATAGTTTGCGACATACAAGGAGAATAGGAAAATACACATTATTCTTTCAGGAGTGTCTTCACCCTGATTAACTGAAAAGTAACAAGAATAATATTTTCCTGGTACATCCATTGAGATCCCCTAGAGACCTGTAATGCTTCAAAAATACCGAAATTTTCAGGTTATCTAAGTTCCCTTGTTAATAACTTTACATTACACACAGGATGTCGGTTAATCGTATCGTGTATTTAAAACTTAATGAAAATAAAAAAGTGTTGTATAATTTTTATCGAAATTTCGCGTGCTAATACTTCATCTTCTGTTAACTGAACATTATATTCTATGATAACGTTGAATCTGTTATCCTTTTTATGTAACAAATAGAAATGTAGTCAATTCTATTACTAAAAAATCATATTTGATATTCATGGTGGAATATTTTCATTTTCTACTGTTAAACAAAGTCGTAAAAAACCGTGCTGTATCGTGCCTTTATCGTTCTAACGACAGTATGTGATAACACGCATGTATGTTTGTCTCAAGTACAGAAAACAAAGAAGGATAAAAAATGAAAAAAGAGGAAATTGGAGGAAAAGGGTGAAACCCACAAAACAATAATCATCAGATGAGAGAGGTAAAAATGGGTTTGAGATGTAACAGAAGCTTTAAATTGTTAATACCACTTACCACCAGGTCATCGGTATATAAAGTAGGTAAAACAATCTCTACTGTTTTGTTTAGATATAATAAGTCTTATTTTTTTCCGATAAAAATGAAGACTAAATAAATTCATAAATACGAGGGAAAGTGCTACGTAGAAATAATAACCAATGAATCAATTATCCATTTATGAAACATTTTGAATGAAATAAACTTGCCGTGTGATAAACTCATGGACGATAAAGTGAAAAGAGAATCGTACGATGTCACGTGGAAAATTGTACAGACTAGCGGAAAACCCTGGTCTTTGTTAGAAATAGAGGTCGGCTTTCGTCTTCTGCTAAGTGAAATGAACATCCTCTGTTCGCTTCCAAATGTCTGCAATATATTTTGTCAAAACTGCTAACGTTACGAAAACAAAAATGTATGTGTTCGCAATTTTTTCTCGCAATTCAGAATCCATAGCAGAAATGAAAGCAAAGTTAAAATTACAAAAACTCTAAATGAAGGTTTTAATGATCATTAGCAAATATTAGAAGTATTCTCCTTCCAATGTTCTGTAAAAAAATCTAATTCCCCACAGTATACGTATTCATTCCATAGTATCATCACTAGTAACTAAACTGCAAATATTACGTATTTATTTGGTAAAAATTTGAGTGCAGACTAATCTAAATTGTACTTTATTTCGAGTCTAATTATACCTTTTTCGAAACAAACAAATGTCTGACTCAATTTCAATTCAATAACTCAATCGATAAATATCTGAATTTTCATAAAGATCAGCAATTTACTAATAACCATGTAAATGTAGTTGATGCGACGTTAAAACTCTTTAAAAAAATATGAGAACAATAATTTCTATAAATTTGTATGTATTTTATGACAGGGAATGTTATTAAATCTGAATCGTTCACTATACATATATGCGTTTCACTAATCGAATAAATTCAGTTGGTTTGTCAATCCTTTCTAAATTAATGTATACGATATCTTGCTTCACAACTCGAATAAAATATAGTTTTCTATGTAAAATACACTATTGTTATAATTTATATTGAATCGATTGCTCAAATTGTCGTACAGATCAATCTTTTAGGCATATCTTTAATTCATAATACATTCCGTGGTTTTGTTTGTCGGTAAACATCACGTGCATAATTCCTTCAAACGATCGTATAAATAAGCATCTCAAGGATCCCATTTAAGTTACTCGCAGTAACAACAAAACAGATGGATTGCATTTGATTGGTGCAATTAAAGCTTATCGCTCACCTTCGTTTTTAATTTACAAACGCTGCGAGCGTAACGAAAAAATAAAGCGAATTAAGACCCATGTACGGAATAAGAAAAAAAACTTTTATTTTATCAATATTTCGCATGAGTTTAAACGGACGTCATTTTATATGTTCACGAAGGTTGTTTCATAAAAGTGAAAGATAAAATGGTCGAAAGATAAACCCTTACAGAAACGGAACATACCGCGATAAAGTGAATGAGTGACGTATGTACGGTCGTCCGTCTTTAGAAATTATTTTTGTTGTATATTCTTGTTATGACATCTATTGGTCGTTAAAACGGTATGTAATATTGGGGACGTGATATTTTCTATTTACCGATGCGAGAAATTATCTTGATACAAGTGGGGAGAATATTTTGATGGCCTTGGATACGAGAAGCGGGAGCAAGTGGAATAAATACGCTTAAAGCAGACCGGCTGATTACACATCGTACAGTTTCACGTAATATTTTATTCGAGACTTCTTGAGAATTCTTAATTTGCAAATTTATAATCTCGAATAAAGTTTTTGATATAAATCTGAATAAAATATACTATTCAGTTATGATTCTTCTTAAACAAAAGACGTTTTTTTTCTTACTGACGGCACGTTTTTAGGATATACAGATTTCCAAAAAATTGTTAATAAATGTGTTACAAGTATTTTTTTATTCGATTTTAATACACATTATACATTTATTGATTTCCACATAAAAATTAATAATACTCTCAACTCTTTTTTTACACGGAAGATACGTTCCTCAAAAAATTGTGTAAAAGAAGGCGTGCAAAAAAAATTAATTTCTTATAATAAAATGGAAGGTACGTTCTAAGTTATTAAAGTGTAAGATGAAATAAAAGAATTATATTTCATTCAAACAACCGTGTGAAAAAGTGACGAAAATTTATATGTAAATACACTTAAATATTTTACAGCAAAATATAATTCATACACATTTCAATTATATTCTAACTAAAATAAAATTATTATCACATAAATATTGCGAAAAGAAAAAACTAAATATTTTCAATAAAAAATACTAGAAATAATATTAGTTATTATTCGTCGCTACTTGATAATAATCGCATATGTTTACGGTCAGGTTAACCAAAATCGCTATCCTCGCTAGAGAGATCTACCATATCCGCCAAGTTTGAATTCAATGAAGATTTTCGTCCAGTTATAATATTTTGAATAGATTGACCGCTTTCCGAAAGTTCTTTTTATGAAAAGTACTGTAAGTAGTAATTTATCTTCATAAATTTTTATGAAAGTTCTGTATTGACTTTTTTGTCAGAAATTCTGTTATCATCTTTTGCTCTTTTGGTTTTGCAAGTTCATTGTACAATTCTTGGTACCCATCCATATCAGAGGAAAGAACACGTATAAGAAAACAAAGATGGGTTTTTTTCTGGCACCATGTTAAAGGAAATAAACCGCATAAAAAGAAAAAAAGCTGTTTTTTCTTCGACATGTTATTTCAAAATCAAGTAAAAAAAGAGGTAGGTGTATACAGTTATGATTTAGAAATAAATATAAAATGAATAAAGCAGTTATTCCAAGTATATGATTGCAAAATTTCTAGAGTACACTCTCGAGTAATTTAAAATATCAAATTACCTCGGGAACCTTTTAAACGGCAACACGGCGAGTAAAGAGACGTCGAAAGAAAAAAAAATACGCGTTCAAGAGTCAATTTATTAGTTCGCATTTATAATTTACTCCTAGGGGAGATTTCTTTGTTCGAAAACTCCGATAAAATATTAAATATAGCAATAAAGGACACTACCAGTGGTTGTTAATGTTAACATTTTCAGTAGTACAATTGTTATTTATTATAGTGCAAAATATACCTACGACTTCCAAAATATTTCGGTTCATGTTGTGAAAAATTTGTATGTCCTGAGCACAGTAGTATTATTTACGGTGAATGTTATGATCGTTTTACAAATCCATCAAATGACGATTCCGATGAATCTATATTAATCATAATTCTTCACTTTTTACTTTTATTTTGCAGCGTATGTTTACATTAGTCTATCAAGTCAGCAAGGAAATATTTATATTTCATTGTATATTTGGTTTCATAATTTTAAATTTATTTCAGGTATATCAAACAGTTTTTACGTATTCGTATGTTTTTTTTTTTGCAAAAATTAATACGACAGCTTACATTTTCAATGAAGGTATATTTCAGGAATATTTAAAACCGTGACCACCGCACGGTTAACCCCTTGATGTCCACCTCCATGATAATACGTTTGCTGCGGTCAGTCCTAAAATTCCACCTCCGTAACATTACGTTTGATAAAATATGACTATCTCTTCTGTACTACACACGTATTATATTATTACGTATTATATTCATATTAATATATTGTTTTATTCAAATTTTCTTGTCCTGTTTTTCATTTCTTTCCAGATAATTTAATTCTGTATTGTGCACGCCTAGCTGAATTTTACACACATAATTACTTATTAAACATATACATATACAAACATAGAAGTTTTTTTCAAAAAATAGGGTTCGATACATGTTTATGAACATTCATATAATAAAATAATAAAATAAGTACGGACTTTACACGTTTGCCCGTTTATCTAAAACTTAGCGAGCACTGAAGGTGTTAAATAACTTATTCTCGAAACATTATTGTCGCACCTCGTACCTCAAATTTATTTTAAAAAATCCAATAGATGCGTCTGATCACAACGGAGCCCAAAAGAACTGAATTGAATTCTAACCACGGTCGTTCACCTTCGACGCCTCGTTTCTCCTTTTTCCCGCTTTGGGGAGGATGAAACGACGCATTGCGAAAGAGGCACTAAGGAGTCACAAAGAGATCCAAGACCGGCTAGCACAATGAACTATTTTTCTCTCCGTGCAGTCGCCGATCGATACCGGTTCCGACCGGAGTCACCCAGATTTTTTCAAGCTCTCATTTGTTTTTTTCTCTCTTTTTTTCCGTATTCCAGCCTGGCGTCGCAGCTCTCCGGCATGGAGGCCGAGGAGGACACGAGCAACGAACGAGTGGCCACTTACAAAGTCGGCATGCTGGGCGCGTCGGGGGTCGGGAAGACCGCCCTCACCGCGCAGTTCACCACCAGCGATTACATTTGCGCTTACGACACGTCCCTCGGTGAGTACTAAGAAAATTCTACAATAGTTTCGCGGATGTTACGTGCCCGCGACACACAATGTCTTAAAACGTCCGTCTGACCCCGAAAAAGTCATTATTTTGAACATTTTTTAGTACATTATTCTCGGTTCTTTTATGTTCCCATATGTCTAATAGTACCTAAATTGCTAAATCTAAGAAGATCTATACATTTCTAAAATGAAAAAAAGTTTTTCGCAGTCAGACAGCTGTTTTAAAACAGTGAACAACGCTCGCTAGCTGTGATTCGTCGAATAGATTTCGCGGCACCTCGCTTCCACCATTTTGTCGCTTCGTGGCCGGGAGCGGCCAATTTGAACCAGTCTCGGTAGACTTGCGGAACTGTTTCTTTTTTCCTGGTAACCTTATTTTTCTTCAAATTTGCACAGGTAGATAAGAACTGAAATAGTAGTTTTTTAATTTTTATTTAAAATCAAAGGTAATTTTGCTAGTACAGTGGACTCTTGATATATTGCCGCGTGAAGCGCTTGCGCAGACGCTGGGGTCAGCGCTACGATGACTTAACATGGAGGGGGCTCTCGATACATTGCCGATTCCGAGAATTTTCCTCTTCTACAACCCCAGGCGCTAGAATATATCGAGTCCACTGTATTTATTTTTATATATACTAACTACCAGCCAAAAGTTTGGAATCACTTGCTGATTTCTAGGAAAGTCGAATGTCCTCATGAATTTTATGCTGACACACCGTTAATATATCAGATGTTGACAAGAATGTATTTTATTTTGAGAGACTTTAGCATTTTCTGGTATCCAAAGTACTTTTGTGTAAGTCATAATCGCAATTGAAGGGAACGCTTGGTCTGACCTGCTGCCTGAAAACACATTCAAAGTGATTCTTCTGTTTATCCAATGAGAGTCCAATGTTATAATATTAGATCCTAATGCCTAGAATCTGTCAGATTAAAGCTGAAGGCGATGTTTTTAACAAAAGAACAACTTAAGGAAACGAATTTTGAATAATTTAGTTTTGTAACTCCTATAACGTAGTAAATTTTAATATTGTCCTTTCAAAAGAGCACCACATATTCCCAGAACTACTGTCCGGAATTTATTTAAAACTTGTTCTCTGCATATTTCAACATAAAAGCAACTCAATTCTATGGAAAAAAATATATAAAGCAACGAATAATATTTTTAGTAATCCCCAGGTTAAAAGTAATTTAGTCCCATGACTCAGTTAACGAATAAACGTTAATTAATTTCGAATGCTTGTGCAACCTCTCTAATGTTTGGTTTAAAATTCTTTCTCGTAGACTTTGAGGAGTAGTGGGAGCCTGTAGTTATTAAAGTTGGCGTAATTTCAGGCAAAACAAAGTTTCGGTTCAGTTTGGATTTCCACTCGAATCGAATTCCGCAGTTTCGAGATTTCACGGAACATTCCCGCGTTTAATACCTTTCGAAGTTTACCCTCCTTCTCGGAACTACGTGGCAAGAGTGGTAATCAACATTCTGGTTAAGATCTGTATCTCCGTCATAAGTGATACAGCGAATATCTTAAAGATTATTCCAGAACCTGACACCACTGAGAGATTAATTTCATAGTTGGAGTCTAAACCTACGAGTCAGACTGATCAAAGTTCATTTCTTTCAAAATTGAGTTATACATATACACCATCTTAATGCTACTTCGGTACTCTACTACGTACCGAAGTACCCTATTGACTATTTAGGTTACATAATAAATGAAACAAATTGCATTATTTGAACTACTTCAAGTGCAACGTTAATATATTAAATAAGTTATAATTATCTAGAATTTTGTAGCCATAAAAATAATTATGCGCTATCAGTGATGTATTCTTGTTCTGCTGTAAAATTAAAATATTGTACATGGGTTTCAGTTTGGCTCGGAAGTGCAGAAACAATATGATCACTATAAATTTCAAAACTTAAATTTGCGCTATTTTTTCCATGCAGGGTACACATTTATAAATTTAATAAAACTTTCTTAAAGAAACAACGAAGGCTTAATAAAATATGTTGGGTACACTAGTCGTTTTCAAGAATCAGTCATCCTATTTTTAAATTAATATTTGTAAGCATGTTTAAACATATCAGAATATGATTAACATTTCAAGAGATTTTGATATCTATATCTTGCAAAATCTTCGTTCATATTCTCAATAATATAGTTTAATACTTTCAAGCGATTATGAGTTCTTGGCCTTTGCGTTGTATTGATTTACAAACTACAGTCTTGAATAACTATTGATTTACAAGCTACAGTATTGAATAAATAAATACCAATAACTTTAAAGACCATGTTTACTAACTTTTTTGTTTCATTTAATAGGTTCCATTAATACTGATCACGCACAAAAACATCGGAAAGTCCGTTACTATTTTCGAATCTGCAATTTCCGTTTCGAAGTAGTAGCAATTAAAGATTAGAGACTTCCGTTGCGCGCGCAATTCAAATGCCAGTCAGAATGACACCATACTATTAGCTTTCCCTTGACTTTTACATATTTACGAAAAGAAATAAAATTTATTTGCAATCATTCAGATTTATTAGCATTACATTTATTATTAAATAAATGTACGTTTACGATTATAAACGTCTAACCTAGCTTTCTGAATGTCGTTTCGCCAGTCGGTGTTAATCCCATCGGTAGTGTTAATCCACCTGACGGAACTTAATGTTATTTCAAGTGATTAGGACGCATCCAAAATTTACCAAACTTGTCGAGCACTTCGGATTCACCTGCAGACACACCGCCAAAGATGGTAGTTTGGGTGTAACTACACGCTCGTCGCGTTAGGAGTCTTCGAATAACACTTCGTACCCTAGAAAGCGGCTCCAGTATGCAAACGTTAAGCGCCCCTCGACGAAGCATGGGCCAATGATTATATTAGCGGTGTATGTGCATATTTTAACCTCTTCAGGCGTACTTTGGTGTGGTTCCCTAATGAGGCAACACTACCGAAGTACGTTCGAAGATGTTGAAATATGCATGTCCCGTCAAGACTGTAGATTGTTTCGGTTCCAGGTGCAGCTGGTACAAAATGGACAATTAAATGTTACTTGATCGCGTAACGAAACACACAGATATTATATAAGTGTTGCTACTTTCCCCTAATTGGATATTCTTCGTATAACTATTAGACTGCAGGCGTTACATAAAATAATAATCAAGTATATTAAAATTAAATCTTGTGTGGTTTAAGACACTGTTTGTTACATATTCAAATGGAACGCTTGATGAAGGGAATATATTCCTAGATATTTCAGTTACATTTTTGAAAAATATGTTCCCATATATTTCTAAATACGCAAGGTGTGCCCATAGAGTAATCTGCAAGTTAATAATTTCATAAATCTAATAAATGCAAATAATTAGTAAATAAAAAGAATATTAAATTTTCATATGATGAAGTAACTTATGGGATACCGTGTATATAAATGTTCATATTTTATAAATATAGTTACATTTTTACAAATACATATATTTAGAAATATACGGGGTGTTCCAAAATAGCTTCGACTCCCGGAAATGAGGAGTTCTATTTGAATATTGTATAACACAGGTTGTTTTAAAATATAGGAGACCTTTACTTCGAACATATTTTTTCATTTTATAATTTAACAGAAAATTTCACACTCTCATAATTACAACAGTGTTTATGTAAGAATCTGCGGTTACAACATTAGAAGATAATTGAAACTTCCAAGATTTATCGTATGATAATATGACCCTGTTGAATTTCTCAGCCCCTGTGCCACCCCTTAATTCTACCTTAGTTTCAAGAGTGGTCAACATCCTACACATTACAAAATCTAAACAGGTTAAAACCGGAAGCTTGTAATTCGAAACTGAGAAAACGTCGCAATATTATAACCAGGTGATCATTTCGAATTTATCATCCCCTGATTTATCCTACCTTATTTCTTACCTTAACGCTAAATAGGACTAATTACCGAAGCAGTCAAAATAACGGGTTTTTAGCTTCTATTCTATTCAATTCATAGCTTCTATTACAGTATACAAAGATTAATTATTTCTTAAATTTTGTGTACCTTAATAAACCCGCCATTTTTATCGATCTGATAGAAAATAGGTATTCCGTTACTCGACGGTAGTTCCAGATTAAAAAAGTCCCGGTCAATCCCTAAGTTATTACAGGATAAAGTATCCGAATCTTTTTGTGCAATGATTTAGATGGCCGTAACCGTACGGAAGGTGGCACATTTGGGGTTTTCTTCCTGTCCCCTACGTGTGTTTTTATTCCTCGAGTATGTCCCCTAATATAAACGGCAGGTCCCTTTATGACGTCTAGACGTCGTACAACAATGAACCGGCTTCTCTGGGAGGGCTTACACGTCGTAAACCGAACAGTCGACTCCAGTTCAGGACGGTCGATAAGGGGTCGTTCGTATTCACACACGACGTAGACCTCGAATGCAAATTACAGCTGGTGCACCGCTGTGATTCGTACTAGAACAGGGAACCATTCCGAAGAAGGTTGATTTCGTTTACATCAGGATCCGGTGGATGAATGGTCGAATAATGCTGATTGTTTGTTATCTACCTTTAACCATTTTTGTTACCCCATCCTTGCATTAGAAGCTTTTCATTCTTCAGGGGGAGGGGCAGGGGAGCGAATCAGGAAGCGTATCAAACGTGACCTCGGAATGTTTGCTTTGGATGGAGAATGCTCGTTTGCTTCTGGACTTTAATAACATAATCGACGCAATCCAGCATGTTTGTACATCGAAAAACTCTGGGAATCGAGGGAAATTTAAGTGCAAAATACATTTCCTCTTCGTCAATGTTTTGTAAACACTACCTGTTGGTCCACGCTCTGATCCTCTGTTTTGGTATTTTCTACGGTCTGCCTGTTTACTATTTACTTTTGTTCTATTTATAGTTAAATTATTCGTTTATCTGTGCATATTTCTCGTTTCTCGGCGAATTAATTTATTAGGTTTGTGTTACTCGAGAAATAATTGCTCGTAA